TGCCTACAACAACAGTTATCAGGCAGCGATCGACATGTCACCATATGAGGCTTTGTACGGAAGGAAGTGTCGTGTACCCTTGTATTGGGATGAGGTTGGCCAGAGGAAGGTACTTGGGCCAGAGATTATTAAGAAGACAACAGCTCAGGTATATGAGATCCGAGTGAGAATCAGGGCAGCCCAAGAACGACAGAGATTCTATGCCAAGAAGAAGAGGAGGGAACAACAGTTCGATGTTGGCGACAAGGTCTTCTTGAAGGTCTCACCAACGAAAGGTGTAGTCCGTTTCGGGAAGAGAAGGAAGTTGCAGCCTCGTTATGTGGGAACCTTCGAGATACTCAACCGAATCGGAGTCTTAGCCTATCGATTGGCTCTTCCACCAGAGTTCGCAGGAGTGCACAACGTGTTCCACGTCTCTATGTTGAGGAGATATGTGTACGACCCCGAGCATGTAGTAGACTTCGGCGGGCTTCATGTTGGAGAGGATCTGTCTTATGAGGAGGTCCCACTAGCCGTTCTGGACCGAAAGGTCCATCAGTTGAGGAACCGGGAGGTGTCACTCGTCAAAGTCCAGTGGAGCCGCCATGGCGAGGCCAAGGCGACTTGGGAGAGAGAGGACGAGCTCCAGAAGAAGTATCCAGAGTTTATGTTTTGAGCTTGTTCTTTGTATTAGTATTTGGAGTTTATTTCTTTTTAGTAGTTTTTGAGTTGTATTTCCGGGGACGGAAATCATTTAAGGAGGGTAGAATGTAATGCGCCGATTTTATTTCAGTAGACATCTCGAATTATTATTATATTATGCATTTTTATGGAATTTTATTTTATCAGCTCGACAAGTAGATTTGATTAATTAGACGTGAGTGTCTATTTTGATCATTTGAGATAAATAATTTATTTAGACCTTTTAGTCTATTTAAATTATTTATAAGTTTAGCCGAGTATTGGAATTTTCGAGTTTAGCGAAAGCCGATTAATTTTGGTCGTCTTCAATGTCGTTGATTTATTTTCTCGACTTCTTAGAATTATCGAGACCAAAATAAGCATTTATGTTCCAGCCCTTAAACTAATTTTTTCGGCCTTTGATCATAATATTATCCGCCCGTATTTTTTTTTGGCTCCAAGTTATTTGGTACAA